TCTGGTTTTGTGAGAATTCACCTTATGCGATCTAGGATAAGTAAAGCTATTATTTGACATAATGACTGCTCTGTCTTTATGATCCACACACCATGAGGAAGCTCCAGTTTGATGGGCTGGCTTAAGTCAAAGACTCTTTGCATTCCTTCATGAACTGATCGGCTTGAGCACCGCTGGCTGTTTCAAGCTCTGAGAAAGCGACGTCCAGAAAATCAAAGCCTTCCAGTCCGGCAACTGCATTTGGAGTTCGGTAGCTCCAAACATCAAAATATCTGAGAGAACCAACTTATTCGCATATAATGCATGTAGTAGGGCAACTTTGGTGAAGCTTCATGAATCCTCTCTAGCGGGTATACAACACTCTTATGGTTTGAGTCTCCATGACTAAGTTGGATAGACTCTTTCTCTGCTGGTTGGTGGAAATTTCGACACGATATCTACAGATGGCTAAATCCTCCGACCTAAGAAGTTCATGAAGTTCATAGTCATCCTCATTCTTCTCACTTCTCTTTCACTACTTACTACTTACTTCCTGGATGTCACACTACTCATTGTGTATAAGACTAAAGCGTAAACACACACCTCACCTCGAAAGCTTGTACCGGTATTCAAAAGCACCACTTCGGTCTTTTTTGTATCCATCGCGCTGGTTACGATGCAGCTCGTGCTGTGAGTGTTTTAATAGCATCAATAATTGTCAAGGTAATATTTAGTAATGGAGAGAATGAACAGGTGTGTCCGAAGCTGTAGGTCCAGCAAGTGCAGAACTTGCATCTCAGCCAAGCGATGATTAGTAAAAGAGTAGTATGTGCTGATTTTTTGTCTTTTCTTACTCTGATTCCTCCCCTGTCATCCCCTCTGCGCCCCCTCTATATCTGTTGAATATGAATAATGTTTACGAGCTTCTCACGCAGATGCTCCCTCCGGTTACTTATCTCCTTGCCTCAAACGACTTGACATCTCGACTTGCCAACGATCTTCCTGGCCTGTGGTCTTGGTGAGATCATCGACAAGAGCCCTTGCCAATCTGCTCTCTACTTCTTGTGCTCTCTCCTCACTCACCATCAGCCACCGGCCTCTCTCAGAGCCCCGACAGCTGGAGTAACGACGTGTGTTTCTTCACATTTGAGCCCCAGAGTTGGCTTCTTTGTCGGCAGATGTCCAAGGCAATGTGGGCGTGAGCCAAATGACTGGCCGATTGAGTCGGCTAACAGGCATTCCACCTTTCCCTACCAGACGTGTGCTCTTGGAAGGTGTATAAATGCTGCACTTTCGTCGATTGATGCAGCAAATGCATTTGTTGATATCGCCTCTTACAAGCAAAAGAGAGCCACAGTATAGCCCCAAAGTTGGAGTCCACAACAAATAATGTGTTTATTTCCTCATTTACCAAAAACTACTACACTGTTTTTATTAGTTGATAATTTTTAAGCAAGCTTACATGATTCTTTATTGATATGTAAGTCAACAAAAATTTGTTTATATTTATGAGAACTAAAATGTATCAATAGTGTATGGAAAGTTGGGCTTCCAAGAGCCCCCGATAAATTGATGTTTTAGTACCTTTCATTTCGTCTGAAAGGCGAGTGGAAGGTATTCATAGATTGGCCTCACCAGAAGCTGAATGGCGGTTGCCTCGGAGCTGTGAATGTACATTCATACTACCCGCCCTGTGACCCCGATGAGTCCTTGCTAAGCTTTCATCCTTCATATGACGAATATCATCAGAGCAGTACACCATGCTCCACAGTAATTCACCAAAACACAAAGGCAGGAAAGGAGGCTGCTTTTTATTCTACTAAAACATACTTTCCTCTCTGACTTAAGGTTGTGTGGAAGAGGATTTATTTTCCAACAGTACAATGATCATAAAAATGCGTAGAAATTGTGCCAGACCTATTAAAAGTCGGAATAAGAACAAAGAATGCTGATTTGCATGGTTTCCCATTCACAGTACCCTGACCTCAACCCCATTGAGAAAATCTTTGAGGACACTTGAAAAGGGCGAGGGTGAAAAATATTCGAACGTCAAATGGCAATCTCTGTGATCATCTAAAAGAGGGCAGTGGTAATATAGATTCTCGAATTTAGAAAAACTGCGGTGGTTAAATCAAAAGTTTATCATACCAAATATTGAGACATTTTGACTATCAGTTAATAGGAACAAGGTATTGTTGTGGATATGAAGACCAAGATGGAGTGGTCTTCTAGTTGGTCACAGTCTCCTCTAGCAAGATGGTGTTGGTTTGACCCGTTTTGACAACTTATGAATGCGTCCTTTGCCATAGTATTCGTGATTTCCGGCATCGGGCCGTTGACTTGCTACATTCCCAGACGTTTCGCCAGCATCGTAGTTGGCATCATCAGCTCAGAACTACAACTCTGCAAAGTGACCATTTCTCTGTTCAACCGTTGTGACATCATTCTTGGCCTCTATTCTGTCATACTTTCCACCACAATTCATATCACCCATTTCCCTATTCACACCATTCTGCGCTCTTATTACTCCAATTCTGCCTAAAATTGTGTCGCATTCGTTGGATATGTTGAAGCGTAATCATCTTCACCACATGATTCAAACATCTATTGCAGAATTTCTGACTTTCATCTAGCCCCTCCTTTCACCCCGCTTGTCAATTGGTCCCTGGCACACATGTGAATATCTTTTGGAGAAGCGAGTCTATGTGAAATTCAATGGAAAAAATCAGCTTTACTCATATCATTGCGGGAAAATTCAGCTACCAGTCCTTCATCACCTTAAATGAAATATGGTGAAGACAGTCTACAAGTCTAATCTACTGGTAATCTCGAAAACCTACTTAAAATGAAAATCACTTTGACTGTCTGAAATATGGCATCCAATGATTCTGCAATTCCCGAGTTTTTAAAACCGGTGGTTCTCTTGCCTAGGCATCTTCTTTTCACTAAGCTTCATACCCATGACCCAGTTATCCTCTTTCTTATCCCCACCCGCATTGTGTCTCATTTCTGGAGCCCTGTATCAAGCTTAATTCGGAACCGCCGGCATGAAAATGTACCACTTTCTTTTTACACTTCTAAATCGCGCAAAGCACACTTCTCTGGTCTCTCAAGTTGACAGTCCCATCTAATCCTAAGGTTTTACTCAGCTGTTAATGTGTATGTTGATTGGTATCCACTTCGTCAGGCATGTCACCAGTCGCCTCTCATTAAGGCCGACACACGAAAAATACACCCAAGCACATACATACACACACGCATACTGGGGACCAACTTTAGGATTGTACGAATGATCTATTTCAATAATAGCGGCTTCAGCTTTCCAGCCAGTTTGCAGTAGGGTGGACATATCCATCGTTTTTCTGCTTTTTCTCCTGCTGTGCAAACAATGACATACAATTATATAATAAAGTTTTTCAAAAGGTTAAGACAAAAAATAATAAAAAGCTTAGGAATTTAGGTGTGAGAAATTATCTGGGGACAATAAAAGAGAGCAATTGTTACGCCTGTCCAAAACAGTAATCAACATTACTACAAAGGAAGTTCATTTTAAAAGCTTGAACTGAGTTTCCCAACAGTAAGGATAAAAGGGAATAAATATTCGTAGGACTCATAATTTTTACTGATATCCAGTTGCAGGTTGCCCCTTTAATTGATAGTCATACAGGGGTACCACTAAGAGGTAAGAAATCAAACAAATTTAATTGTAAAAACGAAGAGAAAATGAAAAAATAGTATTAAGGGCAGACAAAGAAGGAGCAGTGTTAATGGATGGATAGGTATGTAGAAAGATGATGTTGATATAGTAAAATACAAGATCACCATTAAGGACCCAACATAAACACTGAAATCTAGACTCGGGTGTTGCCTGCAACATTGTGTAAGAAGCAGAGAAATAGAGACGTCGGAAATGACGACACTTATTCAAGGGAGATGCCGGGACCCCGAATGCACATGGTCTATCCAAGATGGATATGGAAGAAGTCCCACTCAAAAATATTGTCAATAAGATCAGCGTTGTGCACAAAGCAAAATCAATCTAGTAAAGGATTCTTCGAAACCCAGTGTTGTTACGCACTTTTGGTCATTTTGTGCTATAGATAGAAAACGTTCATGAGCAAAAGTCAGGATTATTTTCAATAAAATGAATAGAAATGTGCACTAGGCAGTGGATAGTTTTTTTGACTTAGTGGTAAGTAGAAGCTCTTGCAGAAATTAGTTCCAGCTCTGAAAATGTGTGTAGAATGACAGTGACGTAAGCTTAGCCCATTTTCACACAAAAGAAGAAAGGATGGGCGAAGAAAACTTGGGTTTCGAGGAATCTCTAGTTTCATAATTGCTGAGTTTACTTCCATTTCGAGTGAAAGTGTTTGGCAAAGACATTAGAAGGTCGATTCAACCAGAAGATGACA